TTAAAAAGAAAATTAGCTTTAGAACCCACACCTCATATAGAACCCAAACCGATTGAATATAATGGTATTATAATTAGGACATTAGATGATATAAAACGTCTTTTTTCAAACCCTGACCCAGATTTACCAAAGAGCATTTCACCAATCGTTGATGATGAGGGTTTGTTGTTCAATGGTTTTAGAATAAGATTTAGTGGAAATTCACCACAATTCAAAATCGACACAAAAGACTGTATATTTACATTAACGAGAGGATTAATAGATTTAATGAATGGCGAGGATGTTGAAATTGCCGATTACAAGGATTTAGTAGCATACTCAAAATTTCTACATGCGATCAGAAAGTCAGGACCCGAAACAAGAAGATTGAAAGAAGTTGATTTATATATAACAAAAGTTATTGAGCAAGATGAAGAGGATGTAGATGATTATGCAGAAGATTATCCAATCATACAAGAAATAGACGAATTCGATGATATGGTGGCATCTGGACAAGGCATAACGTTTTTATCCGACAACAATAAAGAATTGCTTAATAGATTAGAAATAATATTAGAGGCCATGAAGGAAGGTCATCGATCGGACAGACAATACAACGAAGTCAATGGCATATGAAAACGGCTTTTGGAGAAAAAAATCATCACTAAAAAAGACTATAAAAACGTCATTAAAAATGTCCAATAAAGAACAATTGTTCGTTATCACCTCGAATAAATCAGACATCAAATTGTCTCTAAACTACGAGTATGAACTCGATCGCAATAAACAGTACGAACTGGGATTAAAGTATTTCTCCGTTTACAATTCAATTAGAAACATCAACGAAAAAAACAATCAACTAAAAATATCGACGGATAACGGAGTTACGTTCGAAACCATAAGCTTATTACTGGGGAGCTACGAATATGTAGCCATCAACGAATACCTATCCGAATACTCAGGAAGCGTGAACGGTAAAAACAATATCGAATTCGAAGGTAATCTGAATCTGAACAAAATAAAACCGATCTTGAGAAATAACAGTCAAGTCGATTTCAACGTAGAAAATTCGTTGAATGCGTTACTAGGGTTCGATAAACGAATATACGCGCAATCGACATTGGCGCCGCACAAGGCCAACATCGAGAACGACATCGACGTGATCAACATTCACTGTAATTTGATCAACGGTGGATTTTTTAACAAGCACAAACGCCAAATCATATACAGCATACCGACTTTTACGGTGCCGATCGGATACAGAATTATAGAGAAACCGTTTCAAACGACTTATTTACCAGTCAATTCTTTCATGATCAAAGATATAAATCTGGAAATCAAAGACGGTAAAAACAGGTTCATAGACTTTGGCAACGAAGAAATTGTCATTCAACTTCATTTAAAACAATCTTCATTCTCTTCTTGAATTGTAAGATAATCGAAATCATCAAATTCATAGTTTTCGTCAAAACTTTTCTCATCTTTGTCGTTGTAAGGATACATAATTCCTTCATTGTTTGGTGGTTTTCTTTTAACATTATTCAAATAACTTCTAAAAACTTTAGTTTGTTTATCATTTGGAATAACTACTCCATTGGTGAAACTTTTTTCCCATGGTTTATTAAATTCGTTCGACACATCATGTCCGGTTGCTAACTGAACGTAATCTTCTACACTTATCTTATCATTAGAATAACCTTTAAACGTTTTCTTTTCTTTTAAGACACCATCAGAAGTCAAAACGATGTTGTATTTGACTTTTGGTGCTAAATATAAACCAAATATAATTCCACCGTCACCGTAATCGTTTTTACCTTTGCAATAGTCTTTTTCGGAGACCAAACCAGCTCTGTTTAGTTTTTTCCAATTTTTGGATGAAATGTACAAACTATCGGTGTCGGTATAGTATATTTCGGGTTTATAAAATCCATTTATGACGTGAATGAAATTGTTCATTATTTTTTTACTGTGAGATAAAACGAATGATCCCAAATGACTAGGTGTTAGTCGTGTAGATTTTCTATCTTCGGTAGTAATCTCTTTTTCTTCAATTTCTGTTTCAACAATATATTGAGTATCATTAATTTTCTCATAGGTTTTAACGCGTGAATCAAAGTTGGCCTGTAAAGTTGCTTCATTCCATAAATGTCTAGTTGTGAATATATCTTTCTGAATTGATTTACCATACAAGGAATTACCCAATAATTTCATGCAATTACTACCCACGATATTACCTTCTCGTTTATATTTATTTCTTAAATCTCTCAAAATTAAAATATAATCTCTATAGGGTGGAGTTTTAAAATTTTCTTCGTAAACTATACCATCTAATATTCTAATAATTCGTCTACCGGCTTTCACTATTTCTTGAATATCAACCGATGTTAAAACGTCGTGACAGAAACCATTTCTAAACCTGATTTTGTTACCAGTTTCCTTTTTACCTTCTTATTCGTGAAAGTAATTTTATCTTTAGCTGGTATCGGTTGGAAGAACATGTTTTTGGGATAGTCAAACCACACTGTTAAAATAGCTGTTCTAGGTCTGAATTTTTGTTTATTGAAGAGTTTTACAAATTCTTTTTCTTCTTCTTCTGGTAGAAACGGTCTTCCACTTTCCGCTCTCGGATATTCACTGTCTAAATCCGACATGGCGGAAGCGTATAAACCGTTAGCATCAAATGCCATTAGTTTAGTACATTCTATTTTTTTAAGTCTCGAATGAACTTCCGTTTTGTCTTTTGTGCTTGCACTGTATTCTTTGAATAAATCAATTATGTTATTACTTTCAAGTTCTGTATATTCCTTTAATACGTTACAAATTTCATCCATTTTGTTCGTTTCAAATGATTTTCTATTTGCCGAAACTCTTCCTCCTTTAATAGATTCTGATAAAATTTCTTATAAAAGGATTAGTGTGCGAATAAACTTTTTCTATATTTTCTTTTTCGGTATGTTTCGCAACCATTCTAGTAGTTTCATACCATTCTTCTTCAACCATTTCTTTATCGTAATGATATAAATAATACCAACCCTTTAAAGATAAAGATGGAGCCGTTAGATTATTGGACATATTCTGGTTTACAACTTCTTTCATGACTTGGTTGTATTTTATCAAACAAGCTCCCAAACAGAGAGTGTCTCTCTTGGCGTAAGGTTCCCATTCGTGTCTCAATTCCTCCCAGTTGTCTTGCGTGTATTTAGCGATATCTACGTCGGCAATCTTTCTCAAATTCGCGGGAAGATTGGAAGAATTTCCCCATGCAGCCAAACTAGATTTTTCATGTTGATAGGAACATGTGAAATTAATATGTTGTAAATAATTACCCTTTATTTCTTTCTGTCTTTTCCATTTTTTCTGTAAATCTTCATCTGTATATGGATTAGATAAAGGAAAAGATAGAATTCCTCTGGGTGTTTTTAAAGGGCAATGCGTTAGTTTTCTTGTATTTTTAAGCACGATCCAGTTGTCGAAACCACTGCCGTTGTGAGAAATTAATATTAATCTCTTTCTATCATATTGACCTAAATATTTCAACATTTGATCTATGCAGTCTAGACCCACAAATGTTTCTACAACGTTGGTCATAAGTTTGTCGTAATTTGGAATATCATCTGTTGGACGTTTTATTCTGTCCAACATTTTTCTTAGTTTTTCCAAATTGACCAAAGTGCAACAATACGGATTTGCTCTTCGCGTGTCTTTTTCTGAATACGTTTCGCAATCCCAAGCGAATAACGCATCATCACTCATACTTGAAAGCACGTTTAGTTTGAGAGGTGAAACCTGTGTTACTGCGTTGTAGTCTCTACACGTTTTCCACACCTGTTCGTAATTGTCTTCTATTTCTTGAATTCCCAAACTTTTTTGGCTTCTTCTAATCAAACAGAAATGCGAGTTGTGTAAGTAAAAAACCCAATCTAATTCATCATGCACGTCTCTGGGGTGAAAATGTCTGTTTTGGGGATTATAAATTTGAAACGAAGTGTTAAATTTCTTGTTGAATTCCTTCATTCTAGCACAAGTCATCACTCCTTTTCTATTTGAAAAGCCGTTGATGTATTCTTGAAATTTACACGTTAAATCTTTGTTCAAAACACGATTGACGCATTTGATAAAACAATGACCATCTGTAGGTATGAAACAATTTTTGCCTTCGTATTCATTTATCTTTTTAAGTAGATCAGTTCCTCCTCTACCAACTCTCGACCTTTTGATTTCTTGGAAATTGTCTTTCATTAAAATTATTTTTCCTGTAAAATACCAATCGGAAGCATCGGATTTTTTGTCCATATTTGAAAAGATATTGTGAAAGGTTTTGGCATTGAAACCGAGGAGTGACATGTATTTTCTGTGATTCCCTTCCTCGACTATCTCTCCATCTTTTTTAATTTGTCCTTTGAATGTTTTAAATTTATCAGAGATAGCCTTGATAACATCGGAAAATATGGCGTTTTCTATCAATGTTTCATCGTCTGCAAGTTCGATTTTATTCATATTTTTTTAAGTATATATTTTTGATTATTTCTTTATTTTGACCGCTGATATTTCTGTATGGAATTTGTCCAGAATTTCATTGAATTCTTTTAAATCTTCAACTGTTATGCTCTTGTCTTCTCTCGATCTTTCGAAAAAGATGTACAATTGATTAAGATACATATTCAAGATATCCGTTTTCTTTTTATAATGAGCTTTCTTTTGCTCGTGAAACCTAAAGTGATGAGGCCGCAAGAAGTCGTTTGAACGGCTGTTAATGCAGCCAATACGGTTGGGACGATGACCGGAAGCATTAATCCACCAGTCACGGCCGTTGCCACCGTTACTCCTACCGTTAGAACTGTGCTCGCTGTTTTGAAAAAAGAAGCGATTCTACTCCATGTTGTCTCAACTTTATTTTCAACTCTTCTTGTTTGTCTATCATGTATTGTTGTCTGCTTTCGAGTTCCATTTTTTAAGTCGTTAAATTAAGTGAATTTCCGATAAATGGAACCACGGAATATCGTATAGAGCGTACTTGTTTGGCCTAGCATTATTATATTTGCGGGTATTAAAAGTAAAAACATTTACGCGTACTAACGACATTTCTTTTTTCGTATGGTCCTCTTTAAGATGATAGGAATATTTTATTTTTTCTTTTTCGATGTTTATCTTGGCTCTAGAAATAAAACCACCACCTTCAAGGATGTAGTCGGAACCTTCGGCAAACGATAAATGTACTATAAACTCTCTTTCTTGTTGACTTTTATGAACATCGATCGAGGTGTATTTTCCATCGTAAACAAAATAAAGTTTTACGTATTCAAAGTCTGTTGTTCGTAAAAACTCGTGACTTGTCGATTCTATTTTTCCGTGTACGTATACGGGTATTATAAGTGATGGTGGAATTTTGACAATGTTGGTAAATGGTGGATTTTCCGTCTCCAATATCATATCCAAATCTTTGATTCCAATGATATCCTTATCATTTTCTACTTCCATTTTAAAGGTGTCTACATATTTACCATTTTTCGTTTCAGTTTCCTGGTCCCTTTTATCAATCAAACGTATATTCTCTTCCAAATTACCATCATTGAATAATGAAATATGTTTGACGGCATTACCAGTTTGTTTGAAGACTACTTTATTGACTTTAACCTTCATGGGAAACTCTATTTGAATCAGACAATTACCTCGAAAAGAAAACTCTTGCGTTTCGCCGATATCGAATACGTTTTAGGTTCTCCGTATGCGAGAGAACCCACTTTTATTTCTGCTTTGAATCCGTATTTGTTTGATTTATAAATTTGGTCTTTTCTATCGAAGACAGTGTCACTTTCGAATGGAAGATTGAAATAATACGATTTGTCCGTGACAATAGCTTCTAATTTGCTCAACTTTCTCTCTTGTCTCAAAAAATCGTCATGAATTCTAGATACCAAAAGATTGATCTGTTCTTTAATATAATTTTTCATATCATCTCGAAATTTATTTTGAAGAAAGTTTTTAATCACACCCACTTCTTTTTCTAATTCGTCTGTGATTTTAGTATCCAAAACAGTCAATTGTCGTTTCAACGTATTTTTGTCAATGGGAAGTGTGTTAATTATATCTTGAACATCTGATTTTTGCTTCGCGATCTTTTCGTTCAAATTGGATATCGAATTTTGTAACTCGGTTTTGTCCACGGTCTTGTCTAGTTCTGCTAGCAATTCGCCAAGTTTTCTTTCCAAAGCGGTTAGTTTTCGTTTCAATCTATCCTCATTTACATTTGGGTTGTCTATTAAACGTTGGACGTCTATTTTTACGTTCGTAATCTTATCGTCTAATTTAGATATTAAATTTTGCAACTGACTTGTTTTATCCACTTGAATAAGACGTTTCAAACTCGTTAACTCTTGTTGTAGTTTGGGTTCGTCCACAAGATTTTTAATATTTCGTCTGAGGTATCTTTTCACGTCATTTATTCTATTTTCAACATGGTCCTTATCTATTTGAATTGCGATTATTTGATCCAATAAATATTTCTTGTTCACGGCATCATTATCGTTTCCTGGAAACTTTAATTTAGTTATTTTGAAATTGTTCATATCGATATCCCCTTGTAAGGTGTCTCCGATTTGATCCACGAAAAAAGGTTTCGCTTTGTTTATAAACGCCGTCATGGGATTTTTGGATTCTAGAGGTAAAGACCCTAATCCAAACTTGTTTGCCATTTTTATTGAGTTAAATTTATTATAATTTCTTCAAACTTTTCTCCCAAACTCAACCGATATAAAACCCAAAGCGACAGCTGTCCACACAGCTTTTGTCCTGGCATTTGAATTTGAAACGTAGAACATTTGATTGGTTTGCTAGTCAATTTCGTTATCTCTTCTGTCGGTTCTAGACCGAAAGAATCAAAGAAATAAAAGTTATTCGAAGAATCTTTGTGTAAAGCAGAGTGGTGAACTCCTTTTTGATCCGACGTGTGAATGTTTGTGATGGCGTAAAATTTACCTTTCTTGTATTTCAGTTCATCAATTTCATCTCGCATGCAATAATAAAACGGTGAGACGTTCAACTCCTTGGCCCATTTCACAAGTTGAAAGTTTGTGGTCGTGTCTTTTCCGTATTTATCGAGAAATGCATTCATTTTTTAAGTTGATTTTTTTTAGGTGTTTTTCGAAGTAGGCGGAAAGTATTGCTGAAGACCCAATTGACGAAATATATACGTAGTTTGTGTTTGAAAAAACTTGTATAACATTCTGATAAAACACATTCAATAATATTTTGAAGATAAATTTACATTTAAATTTAAAAAATCTTAATTTAAGAGAGCGTAAATGCTTGTCGACATCTAAATTTCTTAACCTTTCATCTAAATCTTCATTTTCGAGATTCATTTTTAAAAGTCAGTTTTTTGAAGTTCATTTTGATAAAACCTTCCTATGATTTGTTCTTTGTCTTGATCGATCAATTCATACGTGGGAGGTGATGTGTTGTTTACTTTATCAACGATGAATATCTCGTTAGTCCAATACCCGACGTAACCTTTCTGAAACAATGATTTATATTTAAAAATACGAACTCGATCTTCAACTTTAAATTTGAGTTTAATATTCAAATTGCTAATCTCGTTTTCAAAGTTGTTTCGAGTGTTGACGGACTTTATGATATTCGGGTTATTAGAGGCTTGCGTTGGCGTCACCCCTATAGACGAATGTATTTTGTTATTGTATTCGTCGACAACAACTGGTAATATTTTAAGCCATTTTTGAGATTTCAATTCCGTGAATTTCTTGAATAATTTGCTTTTAAGAGTCCTGTTGAATATTTCTATCACTACGACTTTACCTTCGTTATGCGTGCTGTAAATTTCAAACCCCAGAGATTTCACATTTCTGTTGTAGAATTCGCTTCCTTTATCAACCCACAACTTTAGGGGTCGTCTGTCGGATTGTTTCATTATGGTTTCGAATGCTTGTTTGACAGTCAGACCCGATTTGTTTTTCAAGGGAAAGACCCAAGCGTATCTCGTGTATATGTCGATCACCGTTAAACAATACTTGTACCCTCTCTCGACTGGCATGTTGATTAAATCGGCTGACCAAATTTCATCTTTATCAAAAACTTTGACTTTGAGGTAATGTTTGTTTTTTCGAAATTCTTTGTGAATCTCGTCTGCTATGCCCATACCCAATTTCACTTTTGCCTTCAAGAGTTTTATGATAAGAGCCCTTTGTAATTTCTCTTTGAAAGTGGGATAGGGAATAGTTTCGAGTTCGTCTATCATTTGTTTGTCTGCTTGGTGTCTGAATGTTATGTCTTTGTTTCTGTACAGTATGTCGTGTTTGAGCGCTGCTGCGTCAACTCTATTAACGGGTTCTTCCCCTGGTTTGGGATTATCATTTTCGTCTAAACGCAGATCTAACCTAGTGCCTGGACCTGTATAATTATGCCCTGGGAGATGTTTTTCTCCGGGATATTTTGCCCATGGGAATCCAGGAAGAGAACCCAATGACTTTTGAATGTCTCCCGCACCGAAATACGTTTGAGGAGGATGGACATTTATTAAAGACATATTTGTTCAATAATGAAATAAACACTATATATTTCTAATACGAAAGATTTAATACAAGGAGGAAATTTGTTGTTTGAGACAAAATTGGCCACTTTCGGGATGAGAGATGTTAGCGCAGACAAGAAACCATCTCCTTCGAATTTTTTTTATTCGTGTTTTAAAATTAAAGACATTTTTAATGCGGTTTATACTGTATTATTATTAGTGATTCTTGTCTGTGGTTTGGGTAATTTATATGGAGTCTGTTATAATACAGTTTGGGGGGAGTCTGTTATAATACATTTTTAACAGTTTGGGAAGTCTGTTATAATACATTTTTAACAGTTGTGTCTTTTCGGATATGACGCATTGAAAAAGCTGCGCATGCGCAGAAGTGAAATGCGTCATATCCGAAAAGACATATACTACTTATTTGGCTACATCGGGGATTCTAAGGTAACTATCTAAATTTCATAATATTTGTGTTACATAATGGAAGGATTCGTAATACTCTATTATAAAGTAAACTTTTGTTGAAATTATGAAATATTTAAATTTGATTAATTGTTGAGAGATCTTCAGGGATTAAGGTATTTTAGGGTTGGATTGGGGGAATGATGATAGTTGGCTCAATATCTTCAGCAATGATGTTTTTATTACTCGGACCAGCACCCTTCTTTCCATTTATTCCATATGAACTTTGGTTAATTATTACCACTTTACTTATATTTGGTATAACAGTTGGTGTAGCATTTGTCACTTACTTTAAGGCAATGATTAATGGAGTCAAGTAAGTTTTTTAAGATAATTTCGGGCTTGTAACGTAACGTTTCTTATTGTAGTCTGACAAAGCAAATCCTTCCAATCCCATCAACATGAAAAATATCAATAAGCTGAGAGATATTTCAGAGATTTATTAGAAATCAACATTATTGCATTACATTATTTATAGCAGGCAGGTAGTGAAAATTCTGTTCCAGAATCTGCCATCCCGGATTCCAAATGGAATATATATTTTTCTTTGTCAGACAATTGGGCTATGAAGAATCTTTAGATACATTTGGTATGGTAAGTGGCATATATAATTCAGCATACTCATTGGGGTAAGTAAAGTTCCTTTTACCGTCTCTCATTTATGGCAAAATATCCGATTTTTCCGATTCTGGAACAACTGATTTCCTGTCACTGGAATAAGATAACTCAAATTTCTGCTTCCACAACTTACTAAAATATCAACTTTTATTGCGAGTGAGTCTGAAGTCTCAAGCTATTCGTAGTCTGTAGCCTTTCTTTACTGATGTTATTTAGTCTGCATCTATTTTAGAGCGTAAGTTGGTGGTATTATTACAGATCAGTATGGTTTTGGCTGGGCAGCATGTTTCTCTTCTTTAATCTTCATTTTCACGGTACGTCTTTTGACACTGAATTGAATGAATCATATATATGTGTAAAAGACAGCCTTAGTTGAATATAATAAACTGAAGGCCAAAAAAACCATGGTTTGAAAACACCCTAGATAAAAACAACACAATATAAATTATTGGATTGAAATGCTATAAACAGATTGAAGAAGTCAACCAAACCAGAACAACAAATGACAATCTTTATATAGCTTTGGATTGTGTAGCACAAAGTGGGGTGGAGTGCAAAAACCGGGCTGTCAAAGTTACAATGCAAACGGAAAACCACATGTCAAGTATCATTCACACTAGTAGCGTGTGTGACCATCCAGTGCGGAGCTTCAATACAGTCGAATACTCTCCGACGCACAAAAAAGTTACTCTGTCAGCCTGTGACGTTGCTTAAAGTTTGTAACGGCAACTCGGCAGCAACCGAAGACTCGTGCCTTTGTGAGAATGGGTGGCTCCCATCCGTACCATTCCAAGGGCTTGTTAGCATTGTTGCTGTTTCAGTCGTGGCATCCTTTTTGGGTTTTTTTTAGCTTTGTGTAAGCACGACATGCCATACACACCGTTTTTATACCCTTAGTACACGTGCGTTTCTGTGTAATCATGGACCACGTGATTTCTTTTCCCCACCAAAATTAACAGTGAACGGGTATAATTCCTACACTGTTGTGTTTGGGCAATGTAAGTCGGATGGATAAGTTTCGAACTTGCTATACATTTTTTGTTTAAATTCAATTTTAAAGTGGCCTTCAGTTTATTGCTGAAAATAGATAATGTTTCTTGTTTTGGGTTTTTTTTATATTTTAACAATAAATCTTGTATATCTAAATTTTACACGGCTAATGGCCAAATATAATATGCGACAGAAAAAAAGATTGTTGTGCTATTTTTAAAATATATTTAATCTTTATCTCTTTTATTGTAGTTCTGTGTGTTAGTGATTTATAAATGTACCAACAAACTTGGGTTTTCAGAACCTCCTAATCTACCATCAAAATAAACTTCAAAGTAACTTTTGACTCACAAAAAGGAATTGACTAACACTTCTGTTGAATAGAGGAAAGTTACTTATCCCACAAAGAAATGGCTGGCTATTGTTATAATATTACGCACAGGTTACACCAATATGCTAAATAAAACATTTACGAAACCGGTAGTGACATATTGCATAATGTGCACACAAATTGGTTTGGAGTCTGTAGAGCTTATTTATTTTGTCGACCGAATTACCTCGGGCTGTCTTTTTTATGTCCTATGTAACATTATGTATGCATTAATGTATTTATCAATGTGGTTTTCATGATAAGAATGTACTGGTTTTTCTCTCTATGACGATATGACATGGGTGGTTTGCTATACAAATTGAAATCATTAACTTTGGCTAAATTTTTTAAAAATCTAAATTTTGTTGTTTTATTTTTAAAAATAAAATCCTTATGGTGTTTATTTGATAGGCATGGTGATATGTGTGCTATACAACATTGATAACAGAACTGTTGATTATTGAACTTTTCACACCCGTTGCTAAATCAGTGATCCATGGAACAAATTAATCTGATTAGAGCTAGCACAGAGCTGCCAAACATAATAATTACGTCAGCATAAAACAATAGCAATAGTTTCATATTTGAGGATAATTAGGCCAAACAAAGTTATACGACAATAAAGACCTATAAAAAGACGTTACATTATTCATTACTATTTATCCCAAATTCTTTATTCTAGATTATCCAGACAAAAAGAGAAGAAAACAACTTGCAAATGGACTATGACTGAAAGTGGAGCAACTATTTTTCTGTATTTTTCTTTACAAATTGAGAATTTGAGGTGACATTTCCGGAGTATAATCATGTAATTGATTTTTTTTTTACCTGATACTCAAAAGTTTTAATTTATTGTTCACTAACGGAAGGCTTAAAAACACAGGTTAAAAGCTTACAGGCTTGAGGTTTAAAAGGTCCATGAGCCATGGGATAAGGTTTTGTTGCCACGATCGGTGCTGTTCAGTTCTAGTTATTCTATTGTCATTTTATGAGAAATGTGACAGACAATTCATATTCATATATGTAAAATAAAACAAAGGGAATGAAGCAATACATTTCCTACCATGAAAATATGAGTGAAATATTTGATTTTGATAATATCTGAAGCAATATATCTTTCTAATGAATCACACAGCTAATTGTAGGACTAATCATAGTAGCCTACCAACACTATTTTGTGTAAAATTTATAACAAAATCTTATTACTAAGCTTTTGCCTTCACAATAAACTAATTAACTGCTGACAGATTCATCAAACTAATGAGACTCAGTTTACTGACTAATCACTACTGATAAGGAATATGTACAACAATTAAAGTCAATATCAACACCAAGTTTCATCACAGTTGTATGTGTCTATTGTAGTCTCTGTTGCAAAAAAACTTTCGTATGTTTGAGCACAGTTATATGCATGTATCATGGTTAATTTTAAAAATCCTAAAATTGTAATAAAAACGCTACAATGGGTGGAAACGCAAATTGCTTTCTTTGCAAAACCAAACAAAGTATTAATGATGTAAAAATGAATAAGATTTATGCATTAGAATAATGATTATATTATTGTCCTAATATCTTAGAATTAAGCTCAAGCAAATCAATCATACATTTATTTTTTTTTATAAAATTTAATAGAAAAAGAAGACTCCTTATTAAAAGAAATAGTATTTTAGAAATAGAAGTGTTTTCTTTGCTTTTATGTACATGCAGAATTACATAGATTAATATAATGACATTTAAAATATTAATTAAAAATTTCAAATTAAATTCTATCGGTCCAAACTGAGGATGGTATAAAATATAAAGTAATCAATTCATAATATTTTTCCAGTTAAAATAGTCATAAAAAAATATACTAAAAACATAAATGATGTCATAACAAAAAATATACATATATATATTTCTATATCAACTCTACAATCAGTGGGGGGGAGGGCTGGCACCACCACTATCTACAATTAATGGATTGAGCACTATTTTAACACTTAAAATATGTTATTATTATCATTATTATAATAATATAAGACTTTATATAAGACTAGATGTGTTAATTTCACTGTTAAAATAGTGCTTTATATATCAATTGTAGAGCTATATAGAAACATTAAAACAAAACCTTTAAATACATGTTGTTACTCAGAGTTGCACTATGTGTGTTTCTTCAGACAACTGACCTAGGTTTTATTTTCATATAAATCTACTAAAGCAAATCCTTTCTTACAAATGTAATAACAAATTCAATAATAACAAATTCAATTAATAACAAATGTATTTCACAAAAAATCTATCAGTCCAAACTGAGGATGGTATAAAATATAAAGTAATCAATTTTTTCAAGATTAACAAGATTAAGTCATAACAAAATACACTAAAACATGAATGATGTCATAACAAATATATATAAATCAATTTTCTTTTCTCTTAAAAATAACAAATATATTAAAGTAATAACAATTATATTCAGGTAATAACAATGTATTTAGGTTTCAATAAATTGTACCAAACAGACATTTAATATGCAAGGTGTCTGATTGAAGTTTCTACAGCCAGATACTGGCTAGCTAATCTTGTTTCAACACTAAAGATGGCTTGATTAGTGGACACGGCTGAAAGTATGTAATTTATGAACACTTTGTTAAGCTATTGCAGTTCAACACTAAATATCTTTCCTCCAAGGCTGTTCATTATAATGACTTGCTGTTTCAATATCTGGAAAAAGTATTTTATAAACTAATATGTCTATTATAAAGATGCAGCTTTATGTAACAACAATAACTTGTTCTTTAGGTACGGGTAATTGTGCCTATTCTACATATTGCAGCTATTTCCTGCTAAATTTCACTTAAATACTTAATATGACTACCGATATTGTCTTGAATAAAGCTACATGAATTTTTTGGGAAACATTATAAAGTAAATCTACCTGTTTCTACTTACCAATATCTGTTAAATGTACTATTTTTAGTCTCTGTATAATATCTTCTATGATATCGTCTTGATTATCCAGTATTTCTGATCCTGCTACCCCACCATTAGTCTTGATATAATCTATAAAACTACATAAAAATAACAGTTTAAAGGGATAGATACATAAGATGTATATATCAATATGATGTTAGTTATGGGATAGTCTTGTAAATATCAATAATAATATATAATGAAGTGATAAATTCAGTTTTAGATATCCATACCTTTTTTTTAGATTGGAAACTCATGCTCCAGGTTAGTAATAAGGGAGGAATTACTTTTGCAGTGAGAAAGTGGTATCTCAAAATATAACTGGCAATTATTAAAACTCCTGATGACAGGAAATTCAAATTAACCATAAAAAATCTCTTTATGTCTCTCAATCTACAGTAAACAACTTCATACCTGCTCCAGTTGTCATCCAATGATAAAATATTAGGATTACCAATAATTATCAATAAAGACTTGGCTCTTGTCACTGTTACATTAAATCTCTATAATATAACGAAATTTATAATCATACAATGTATTACGAAATGAATATCAGATTCCAGCTTTCTAGATTTCACTTGCTCAACAGATGTTTGCTAAATTGTCTATTATATTTTAACAAACAAGTATCAATGCCATAGGCCGAAAGTACAGTACCTTTGGATTACGTAGAAATCCTAGTTTAAAGTTGATATCTAGAGATAAGAATTCTGGACTACTTCTAACAGTAGACACAATGATCACTTTTCTTTCTTGACCTTGAAATTCTTCAACTGAACCAACTCGAATGTTCTTCCATCTATTAGATGACATCATGTGTTGAATTTTCTGAACCTTAAAGTAATATATAGTAATATATAGTAAAGATATATTGAATAAATAAAAATAAAGTGAATCATTCTGATAAAAATGCAAATCTGATGTCATCCATGATCTTAGTGAATTGTAATGCTTCTTTCATTCTAGGTTATTTACTATTAAACCAATCATATGCTCTGATCATTAAAAGATTTTCTTGTTATAATGCGAGTAATTCATATTTATTGTTAAACCATGACTAGTAATGTCAACCATGTTTATTTCTTTATTTAGACTTCAGCAGACACAAAAAATATTTCAATGACAATAACAACAACATTAAAATTGCCACTCTACATATTTACACCATCCACAATACCTACTTGCTTTTGATATGGTGTTATAATACCAATATCCTTATCTTCTAACTTATATTTCCCAGTTAATTTCTTTAAATCCTTCACATACTGTAATACAAGATAAGCTTCTTCCGGGTTGAAAAATGATGGACTCCTTTCTTCACGTAACTCTTCCCCATACAAAGGATGAAATATTATGGGAAACTTTTTGTTGGGAAGACCTTCCCACCCACACATCATATTAGCTATAGATTTATCAGCACATGCTTCCAATTCATTGTCATAAAAAAGCTGATTAGGATGATGTAAAATGTCTGCATGAGATCGATAATTTTTCACCAACTTCGTTAAAACATTAGGATTATATTTCATAACACCAGATTCCGAGGCTATTTTAGCATAAACATCTTCTTGTGTCATATATCTTTCTAATAATGACATATCTGAAACAAATATAAACTTGAGCCATATGTGGCAAGATTGGAACTTTGCTTATGTGCCAATTTACAAAAAACTTTTAGGTCACATGCCAGAACAATCAAAAGTTAAGACATTGCCTGTCTTTGGGAGTTTGTTTACCCAGAAGTAGACCAAACATCACAAATGAAAGTATCAGCAGATAACCGAGGTCAATGACCTTTGACCTTGTAAGTCATCAACTTTTCAAAATGCATACAATTATAAAATCTGAAGCTGACATAGAACATCAAATATGAAAATATAAATAGATAGCCAAGGTCAATGACATTTGATCCTACAAAAGTCCAGGTCAATTTAAGTCTAGGTGAAAAATTGAAAATATAGAAATTCTAAAACCAGTTCCTTTTTTTGAACTATAAAGCTGAAAAAACTGAACTTTTAACACAAACTGGCCAAATGGATGAGGTAATTGTGTGCAATTTTAGAAACAATGTATTCTTGGTGAGTTATGCCCTTGCTCAAATATGTAAATAATAACTAATTAACCCAGATGTTCCACACCCACCTAAATTTTTTTTCATAAGTTAATTCATATTCAAAATGTCTAATATGGTTCCAAATTTCAAGCTAAAAGATATACATACGCCAATTTTAAAGAAGCGAGAATATTGTGAAAAAAACTTAAATTTAAAAAAAAAGAATTTCAATTTAGCATTAAAAAACAAATGTTATAAGCTTATATACTGGAAAGAGCATGAAGTGCACATTCAGAATCCAAAAGAATTAATCCTCTTAGAGCAGTCACATGCTAGAGCAGTCCAAAGTTGCAAATTTCGCCATTTTTGGACAACTATAAAACCTGACATAGATGTTGGAGATTTAACGTCATAGTATCAACTGATAGCCAAGATCACTGACCTTGAACTCAATAAATGTCAAGGTCATCGATCACGAGATATCCTTCAAAATTCAACAATAAATTCAAAAATCGACTCCCAAGCTTTTTCGCAATCGACTGGTATACATCAAAATTACGCACATTCAATTTTACCCTGAGGCCCCATTTTGAGTTTTACAGAAGTGTGTTATACCGCTATGGCGGCCAAAGAATCACTTTCGGTCTGGATTTTATTCCAAAATCGACTGTAGAATTACAATGGCTACTGATCAGCATAAGTTATTCAACCAGAAGTTAAAATCAATTTTACCTTTAAGCAGGAAATGAAATGAAAAATTTGACTATACCATTTTGTTTACTTAGGAAAACTGTTTTTGCAACAAAAATTTCACATAAAAAGTGTGAGACAAATTTTTTGTCATACACTATACATACTTACACAATAAATTCTTATTGAAATGAATCAAAATAACATACCGGTAATATTACAGAAATGATGTCAGTGAATAAATGATTCTAGTAATTCTGCCCTGAACAAACCATTTAACTGTGCAATACAAAACATAAACATTCATTAAATGTACTTACTCAGACCATATTTTATAGCAAAAGGTGAACGCAAGATAGGACCCAGCTGTTTTTGGTCACCAGCTAGCACCAATAAACCAGTACCAATAGTTAGTATATTAGTCACTGAGATTAAAGTTTCTGGTTCTAAAGAATGACCAGCTTCATCAAAAAATACATGGGTAAAATGACCCTTGGGAAACCTGGCTGAGGATAATCTGAAATAAAATAATAAATATGGCTTGCAAGACAAGACCTTCAAATAGTTATCTTACTTTTACTGATAAATTTGACTGTCAATAAAAAGCTCATTCAACATACTTTCAAGTCAAGGACAATAATTGTCAATTCTGAATGTTCATACCAAGTTTAATGACAATAAGATGACCGTTTCATCTGAATCTATTTTAGCCTCTGATAGCTATTTTGAATGTTGTCTGCAGAAAAACTAGGATTGGTTTTGTGAGGATTTTCCTCACCTCCAAAGTTGCAGGAGTTGAAACCTTTTTATTTAAATTGGATCTGACAAAGCCAGACATATTAGATGGATATTTTCGCAGTTCAGACATACCATCATAAACCCCAAAAACTCTAGTCAATCACTAAAAACTGTGCAAGAAGCCAAGAGTTCAAGGGTCAAAAAGCTATAAGATACTAACAAAATCCAAGTTACTGTGATGCCCAAAACTAAGTTACAGTCATCGATAAGGTGATTTAATGTTAGAATAACGCACTTTGGATGTGTGGAAAATCCCCATAAAACTGGGCTTGTTATTTGACTCTACTCCAGCTGATTACTGTCAAAATATCTATCACAGGCTGGATGTTTTTAACTAACAAGAAATATGAGATAATTTTATCTTGGAAATACAATAAGCTTTCCAATACTAATATCAATAGACTGCAGGTTAAAATATTCCTGATCTCTTTAAATAAATACAAAGAATTTCTCAATTTAGAGCTTCAAATTGAAAACTATACATGATTGTACAAACAGAGGAAATGATGTCACTCTCTTACCTGCCAGCAGTAATAGCAGTACACACTATAACTCTGTATTTCTGTATAGTTTGTTTATTAGGATAATAGTAAGTACCACTTTCTTTATTATGATTACAAACAGACTGAAAATGTCAGTATTCTTATGAATTTTTCTCAGGTTAAATTTCCTTCAACAATTTTCAACATAAGATGAACAAAATTGAATGTAAAAATGGATGAAAAATATGCACAATTTGGCAATTAAATTGATGGAATAAGAAATTGTTACATTGTAATATTTCACACAAATTACCAATGGTATTGTTTATCATACAAGAATGTGTTATTCCCATTTCAAATACCTTAACATACAATTACATCCAATAACAGGACTGTATATACATGTACGACATTGAGTTTTCTTGGTAAAAACATTTTTCAAAGTCACTTATGTGGGCACAATGACAATAAGTAATTAAGCAATAAATATATAATACCTTGATTCTATCAGGAACTGATTTCCAACTGCGTGAAACAGCATTCAATCTCAGTATGCCACCTAATATATTTTCATTATCTAATAATCGTTCTGTGATCAAATCAGCAGCATTATTTGAAGGTGTACAGGCCAGAATATGAGCTGTTGGGTGACAGGTTAACACCTATTTATAGAATCCAACAAAAAACTCTAAATATCTTAACAAGTGGTTGCCTAATAAGATACGCCCACTTCCCTGATAAATATTCAGTATATCAAGTGTGGTTGCCAATCTGTGTCAACTCGTACCAAAAATCTAACTTGTACAAGACCATGTTGATTTAAACCAACACAAAATTTAAAATTGATCGCGTTCACAAGCTACATTTAAAAGCAGATGAAATCTTTAGTCTCTATATTATTCACACCATATGTGGACGTTTTACCTAGTCAAGGGCAATAACTCAAATTCCTTTCATCGAAAAATAACTCAAAAACCGTTTATTGAAAAATCAAATTCAAACTTGGCCAAGATGTCATCAATATAAATGATTACACCAAATTTTATATAAATCAGATAAAATCTGTAGTCTCTTATGTTCACAAGCTAATTCTGGATGGAAGGATGGATAGACAGGGGCGACAATAATATATGACCACATTATAATGTGTATGTATAAAAACCTAATTTCAACATCATTAGCTAGTAATTTCACTTGAAATTGTATAAGCTTAATCAAATAGATATTTGCTATTGGGTGCTATTTGGAACTGAACTTTGAACCAACTGAAAATCATGACTCACTTGTTTCATGGCTTCAACAATAGTAAATGTTTTACCAGTTCCAGGAGGTCCAAACACTAAATATGGTGCTGGTCTTGAAGTTCCTGATACAATATGCTTAATGGCACTAGCTTGTTCTTTATTTACAAGAATATGACTATAAAACCTGTAAATAAATATTGTATGAAAAAATGTCCATATAATTTGTAAATTCAAAAAGATAACAGAAATTCATTTAATGTTTCAGCCATTATGCATCTTGATTTTTATTGCCGCTTAGTATTAATTGTTGAGAGGGCACCAAACTTACCTCAATTCAACATTTAATGGTTTCATTAAACCATATTTTCCAATCTGATCCTCAGTAGGGAATAATAAAGCTTCATAATCGTTTTTATGTGTATTGATATAATCAATAGCACGATGTTGTAACTTGACTGGTAAACGATTAAATACAAATCTTACGCTAAACTTGGTTAATGGTGTCATCTTTTCTAATAAACTGAAACATGGAAATGGAGAAAATGTAAGATTATAAATGATAAAGAACTGAAAATAGCTGAAAATAGATAAAATGTAAATATATAGAATGCTATAACCCTGTAACATTTCCATTTAATACACATGGGCTTCCTCCCAACTCTAATTTTTGACTGAATAACATTCAGATTTTCTAGAAATCATGGTTGAATTACATTTCATGTTTGAAAACTGTAACTGTAATCATAAATTTCTGACATACATTAGGATTAATTGAAATACCTTTTATGAAATCCTAGCAAAACCTCATTTTTTCGAACTTCATGTACATAACCTTTATATTCTTTATCATCAGAATCAACAACACGAATAAATAACCAATCACCACGTAGTACTGAGGGACGATTCTCAGCTAAACCAGGAACCTTCAAATATAATGGTAGTCTTATAACCTACTTTATCTACAGTGAACAAATATACTGCTTAAAAACAGAAGGGAAAATCAATCTTAAGATACACAGAAATATTATTATGGAGGGTTGCCCTATTATAGTAGTCAGGCATTTCAATTTCATTGAAATTAAACAGGATATTATGTTTTATTTTCTGAAAAGATGCTTTAAAAGGTGTTGTTTTCACTGGGCAACAAACTTAGTATGGTACCATAAGGACACAATCATAGTTTTTGACAATTCAAATCTTAATAGTAATTATTATAAAGTAGCATACTTTTAACACTAATAATCTTTTATTCTCAGGACAAACTGTCATGGTGGCCTCTTCCATATCATACTGTCTAATATCAACTTCCATCTGTATTTCTTCACAATGCATTAATGCTGTTAAACGTTTTTGGTAATTTATTATAGACAATTGATCTTCTAATGTAGATCTAGAATAAAAAGTTTCAGTTGCTTTGATGCTAAAGAGGACTAGTTGTCTGCACATTTGATTTACAGAATGATAACTGATGATAAATGAGTCCATTTTTAATTCTGAAAAAAGAGGCAGATTGCTGAAATTGATTTCATAACTCTTGTCTTTTAAGATTTTTTTGGTAAGTATATTGTAGGTCAAGTGTGAGATCAAGTGAAAGGTATTTTATAAATTTTGTTGGTATCAAATACGTATATAACTTTCATAATATGGAATTTTCATCACATGTTGTTGGAAATATCTGCTTTAATTCATCTGTTTGTAAATATGACATATTGTATAAACATCTAGATCAGAGATTCTCAAATCTATGGCGCATCAGCGTATGCAAAATGGCGAACGACAGAATTTGAAAAAAAAAGGGCCATGAGGAATAGCAATTGCAAACAATGAAAGTGGTACTTCATTTACTTCAGAAACCCTGATTTAGAAAATTAACTTATAAAAAAGCAAGTTTGGGAAAAAGATAATTTCACATTAACCCACCTTAAAGCAGAGGTTTCAATTTTCTCGGATTGTTTTAACCCTTTTGTATTGGTCAATCCTCTATTGATGATATGTCTTAAAGAATCCATGACTAGATAAGGTTTTATAGCTACTTCTCTTTCAAGCTGATCTCCTACCAAACTATAATATAAATATAAGACAGGCTAAAAGATAGTGGACCACAGCCATATACGCCCAACACGGCATGCGGATGGTATTCAAGATTTTGGGGCAAGGGCCATAACTCTGCTTCTAACCATCGAAAATAGCTCAAATTGAACTTGATCTTTGTTATATGAATATGTATACACACATTTTAGAGTGTTTACAAGCAAATGTGGACGGACGAATGGACAGACGGATGGAGTGTTTATGAGCAATTGATGTTGATAGAAGCACTTACTGTATAGAGGTTAAAGGGCAATAACTCCTCAAAACTGACGTAAGAGGTCTAAATCTTGAAAAAGCCTTAAATTTAATCAGAAGTAAACTAAACTTTCTCAAACCTTTAGATTTAGGTCCAATAACATCCATTTTAAGTTTCATCAAAATCGGTTGAAAACTAAGAGAGTAATAGCATATTCAAGATTTTGGGGCAAGGGCAAAAACTCTGCTTGTAACGGTCGAAAATAGCTCAAATTCGAACTTGATCTTCGTTTTATGAATATGTATACACACCAAATTTCATTTGATTCCATCAAAAAATCTAGTTTTTAGAGCGTTTACAAGCAAATGTTGACCGACGGACGGACCGAGGGACAGGGGTGTCGACAATATACGTCCACATAGAGAGATGTGGGCGTATAAAAATTCATTACTATCATCATTTAAAGAAATATAACTTAACATAGTAAATTAAGTAAATAATAAATAATTATATTAATTAAGATAAAGATATCCTTTTCGCAAAATGTTTTAACCTTACAAAAAAATCCAAAATCTAACACTTTAATTTTTTCATAATTCCACTTGCTATTTTGAAATGTTTTTTTTTTACTATATCCATGCAGAGTTTAAACTCTAATCATAAGAAAATAAAATATTTTGATTTCTAAGAAGCTGATTTGAAATTAAAACAATGGAAAATATTGAACACATAAATTACAAATCTTGAAAATATAATTCTGAGCCAAGTAACATATTAATATTTAGTACCAACCTAGGAAGTTTATACCCATCTATAATTTCACTGGCAGGTTTTTTAAAGGCTTTTCTTGGTGGACGTTTAAATTTCTGAGTAGGTTTTAAACTTTGTGTGACAGTATTTTGACAGCGAGCATGTAAATATCGTACAATGTGGAAGCTGTCTTCAGGAGACTCAACTGAATGAAATCTAAAGGCTAGTGGTGTATGAAAACTACCTACATTACGAGCTTGTGTCTGGACACTTATCAAGTATCTGCTATCTGGAAAGACAAAAAAAAATAACTGGTTCAATCAATTTTTCAAATATCACAGCTCTGAACTCTTTTTTTAATATACTTCATATCTAAGGGACAAGTGTGCCATTTTGAGGGATTGATTTGAGTCTTGAATATACGTAAATAGTCTGCAGAAGTACTAGAAATGTATGAAAATCAGATAATTCCTTAAAAAATATCTCAAACTAGGAACTTCTTAGCCTATTTTTATAGATGTCTTTTCTATATTTGGCAGTGTCTCAAGAAGATGCGACTTTCAAACAGGGATGATTCTTGACACATGTGGATTTGAAGACCCAAATTATGACGGTGAGCTGTGAACACTATTACAGATTGGCTAAACTAAAAAAATTATCTTTTCTGAGACTAAGGTACAATTAGTAGAAAAAATGGCGCATCTGTCCCTTTAACAATACTTTACCAGCAAGAAATAGAACAGATGATCGACCAAAGTACTTTAGGTGACTCACTAACCTGAAGGTTTAATCCTGGCATAGGTCGAGTTAATACCTTCGGATTTTTCAACCCAGTTTACCCTGTCAGTGATGCAGGTAAGAGGGACTGACATGGAAAAAGCGTCTAGTCATTCGAATGGGACAATAAACTGAAGCCCCATGTGCTACAGGCTGAGGCTGATCCCTCAACAGTTGGAAATCGAAAAAAGAGCAGGCTAATGCCGCTGTCCTGGAAAAATTTCCCTCATTGCACCCTGCATGGCATTGCCGTCTTCATTAGCCCACATGGTAAAACTCCATTCATTTCATTTCATTTATACCATAGCTCTATACCATATAAACTAATATCATTACAATTGGCCAAACAATCTTATAAAATTGAAAAGAACCGATCAAATATTTTTTACAATCTAGAGTTAATATAAAAATCCTACATTTTACCTGGTGCTAGGACTTTCTTAGTTTGTCCTTCAGTAACTTTATCTATATCATCCAATTGAAATATTCTGATTCTCTTTAACATTTCACATTGATCAAACACTACAGATTGAAATTTACTAGTATTATGAATGGTGATATAAATAGTCTTGATTTCATTCTCCTCTACTGGTATTTCAATAACACCTTTCTCTAAATCATGTTCACTTATTATTTTAACATCACCTTTATCTTGTACTAAATCCTCTCTACAATACAAATAGAAACATGTAATATGGTAATCTCAAAAATTTGCATGTTTACATTAAAATGTGAATTTAAAACTATGCTGGCTGCTCATCAATATCACAGATCACATCTAACTAATTTTTTATTTGTGTCATTTCCTGCTTTACACCCTACTCTTTGGTACCGTATCAGGCTAATAAATAATCTTTCAAAAAAAATAAGAAAATTTCCAAGACAGTAGACTCGAGGGATATGCTTCTGTAACACAAAAGACTACTTCTTAACTATAAGGTTTTTTTCTTATTCCTTCAAAATGGATCACTATTATTAAGAGTTAATAAAAAAGTGTCTGATGTACAGATGAAATTGTATAGCTTGTCTGTTTAATATCAACAGATCTACAGAAAAATCCACAAACCTTCTGTTTCTAAGACCATGCATTACTTCTGCTACTCTATGTCTTCTGCCAATTACATGTTTTTCCATCTCTGGCTTTGATGTACACGACACACCACACGCTACACACTGATACAGATTACTTATGATATGTATAAATCTAGGTAATTTATCACCAGACACAGTTGCCTCATTTTCAACTTCTTCAACAGGCTGATTAATGACTAGATGCTGATCAACAGCTAATTTTGGAGGTGCACGATTTGGACGGTGGCGGCTACGACGTCTTTTAGGTTTAATACCATCTTGGATTTTATCATTTCGTTCTCTGTGTACAGAGAAATCTTTTCCAGAGTGTACAAGATCTGGTAAATTATGCTGAAAGCTTTCACCCCGGGCACCATCAGATGGACTTTTTGAGTGCTTTAACTGCTTTCTGCCCAACATAATCATTCCCCTCCTCAATTGAATATTATGTGTAACCTGTAGAGGCTGCAGAATGTGTACAAATGCTGGTAAAGATGTCACACCTATAAAATAAAATACATTATAAAAACTTGAAATTCACTTGAAATCATTGACAGAACACATGACTTTATTGTGGTTTTCATCACCAAATTGAATTTCAAAACCCTCAACATAAAAACTTTTCATTATCTTATGAACATATGTTTAATATAAAGTTCATTGCATAGAGCTGTTGATAACATTATACTTCTCTTATTATATTGAAGTTTGGATAGCAACTTCAAGAATCGTTGCAGTCCTTATCTTATATTCTGATAAAATAAAAACATTTTATATTTAGAATTTTCTCAACGACAATCATAAAGAGACTTATTTGTCTAGTCATACATTGAAAATTAATTTATTTCTCTTACCTGAAATTTCCTTATGAGATTTAAAATCTGTACAATATCTAGTTTCAAATTCTTTGACAGACATTTTATTCAAATCAACATTTCTGTCTGTCAGATAGTTGACTAACTCCAACCCCAGACTCAGTCGAGTGTTAAATGAAACTTTTGACATTTTCGTCTTGTATTTAACTTTTCTTTATCCAGCAATAAAATATATGTTCAACAAATTTGTTGCACCAACATTTCTGAAAAATAAGTTGAACTTATTGACAACTGTTATTCTAAATTGATTCTAGCATGTAATTAAGTGATGTTACAATCATTAAGCAGTCGTTGAAATTCCAATAATGCTAATTATCGATTCCCAATCGAAAGTCGTCTACAAATGATTTCAAATGCCATAAAGTGGTAAATTCAATTGAACTCATTCAAATATTAAGCGAAAGGGAACTCGATTTCCAGTATATAGTGTATGATACTCTGTGAATTCCACAGTACAAGTCTATACAATCTGAAATTTTCTAAAATTGCTTTTCTTCTTATGTCAATTTAAAAAGAATCTAGAGTACTTCAACATTCTGTATACCGGTATTCCAAATGTTGACACTGGACCCGACATGCTGCAAAAGCGGTATAATTGGCTTAATTATTCATCTCGAATTAGATAATCTCTTGTGTATTATTGATAATCTGTCAGCAACCCACACGAAAACAAGATCACTAAATGGCAAAATGCTATCCAGAAAGCTATTTGTAGTTTTTTCAAGACTTAAATTTTGAAAGATCGTATAGTGTCTATGGTGTCTATAAAAGAAATATAGATTGCCAAACCAATTTTAATTATTTTGTAGAATATCTGAGGCAACAAATAAGACATAAAAATTTGTTTTTTTTTTAACTTTGATGAAATTCGATGTTGAATCCTTATATGCACGAAAATAGGTTACGCCACAGTATACATTGCAATCAATCTTTTTCTAGAAAATGAGGTGTCTCTGCCTGGGAAAAAATCATGATGTGGATATTGACCTTTCACAGGTCTGAGACCCTGTCTGAGGGGTAGTAAGGGGATAGTAAGGGTGTAGTAGTCCGAAACGTCTACTTCTACTTATTTTCCAGTTTCTGATAAATATTTAAATATTTTAACAGTTATACCAGCTAGGCCCTGTTTTGTGGAGATTTCCCACGCCTCTGAAGATGTGTTTTATTGTAACATAATATTAAATTATCTTTACTCTTACAACTATTTTTAACCTATTGAATGGAATTATCAGTCAGTGTTGGGTATGGCATCACCCTAGCGTAGGAGGCGTAACTTTCGTTTTGTTGGCTTGTACACTCGACTGTGACCCTTGAATTTCAATAATAGCATTACCAACTGGGTCATCTTATGCGTGGTTTCAAATATTATGTCATTGTCTTGCAAAAGAAAGGGAATGCATACCAATCAGCACATTTGTGAAACTTTATCACCTTTACTAGTTTTATTTCATTTACATCTGTGCATAGAACTGTTGTATGATCTATGTTGTTTACAAAAGTTAAGTCAAAACGACCATTTAATTTGATTTGGTAACAAAACCGACCTGGAAACATTTCAAAGATGTTAATACTGATAAAACTGGTCGCTCAAACTGATAGGAGCAAAACCAAGGTATAACATTTATTTCTAATTGGCTATGACAATGTAAAAAGAAAATAATGATTTATATCTTGGTCAAATTTCAGTAGACATGATCGGCTTAGAACTTTCAAGGATGATTTGACTAAAATACTACACTTCCGGTGAGATAGCGCTTGCGTAAAGACCAAATCGCCATTTTGGAGCCGAAATTTGAACGGAGTCTGTTGATAAATAAACAATAGCTAAAGAAAAATGAAGGAGTTGAATAAAAATGAAATATGAGGCTAAATCTAGATGAATAAAGCATAATAACTTACGATGACTTGGCCAATCTTTTCTGCCCTGTATTCTATTACTGTGCATTCAATATTGGACTTCGTATTCTTCATTTTTGTTGATGTGGTTGCAAAAGCTGTTTTGAAAGATGCTGTGTAAGTCTAAAGATTTTATGTTGTAGATGAAAGTTCGTAGTTTGAAGTCATGGTTGATAAGTGGATTAACTTCTTGTTTTATTTGAGCTATATCAGTTTTTCATTTCGTAGTAACAATAATGACTGGTACCTGTATGTACATTATTGAGTTTTGAATGTGAATTCAATTTTTACTTTATATTAGACTAGATCTACTTCCTTTTCAGAAAAATATTGAAAATAAATTTTTCAACTTTATGCCATTTGTATTTGAATGTCGTTGGTCCATAAAAATATAAGAGACAGGCAATCAAATTACTGATTTCATGATTTTCACTACTTGCCCTTCGATTTAAAGGTTGGGATAAAAAAACGTAACTAGGTTTGACATTGATGGACTTACGGGTGGATATTATGTTGTTCTATGCATGAAGTGCTAATTTGGTAGATTTCAATGCATAGTAAGTTTAAAATTGACCATAAATCGTGTCTACATAGTCCCAGCTACATGCACAACGTTAGATTTAAATTTAAAGTAAACGATAGTTCTAGCTATTATGTTTACAAATCATAACTTTTCCAGTGGTTGACATTTTCACCAAACCAAGGCAAACCAAGACTCTCAGTAGCATTTTGTAATTGATATTTCCAATCGTATACAAAATTTTTGCCAAAACTCAATTCAGAAAGCAGCGTAATCAAACGCTTCCTTCTTACTGCCATGTGTTACAAGCTTACCTTATTCTGTTTAATTTACTTTCCTTATGGAATAATCTTTTCCTTGTCATCTAATCCAAAAAAGGTTTGGAAAGAGATCTGTGTGATAAAAGTATAGACTTCAAAATAGCTAGCTGAATATAATGTAAATGATGTATTTTCTAAGTTCATATTAAATCACTTTTTCAGGAGTGATGAGGAAAAAAGAAGAATCTGGTTATTTGAGTCTATGGTATTATCTGGATTATCGTTGCTAGTTTACCTATTTGATCATAATCCAGTTGTTCTCATAACTTTGACAGTCATTACTTTATTTTACACACAGCTTCATGGTAGAATAGATTTTAGATATTGGTGGAACCTTATTAGTACTCGATGGGAAGAGGCACAGCAGCACGAAGAAAGCATGAATCAAAGAAAAAGACATCAGTCACAGCAGCAGAAATCACCGCCTGGTACTCCAGTATTACGAACTATACCACATCCAGCATATTATCCCGCAGTTCCCTCTACAGGAGGAGGAGGTTTTCCACCAAATGTAACAGTTTCTCCTGGTTTAGACAGAAATACATTTATAGTAAGTCACAACCAAGGCCTCAGTCCCCACTCAGATCAGTCTAGTCGTAAACAAAATGAGTTGCCCAATTACCGCAGCAAATTTTCTGATGCAGGAGTATTGGTTAATAATCATCAAAAAACAGGAATGACACCAGCCAGAAATAAAGGTGGATTGTTAGAATTGAAACGGCGACCTTTGAGAGATGAAATTAATCAAAACAACAAAATTCTTTCAAAGATACCACAAATACAATCATCAGGAACTATGTTGAAAACTAAAGTTTTGAGTGCTTTTGGACTGGGATCAAACTCTAATTCGATGCCACCAGGTATAAGGAACAATGGACATAATTTATGCTTCATGAACTCAATCATACAGTGTTTAGCCAGGAGTCCTCACCTTGTCAAATGTTTATCTGTTGAAGCAGCCAAAGAAATGGAGTGTAATGTATCAGAATCAATGTTATTAACCAGTTTTATGGAACTGTTACATCAGTGCCAATCTTCTTCTGGATCACATAGTACTCTTGATCCATCTGCCTTCAGACAATCAGCTGCTTCCCTTAATCCACAACTAATAACTCAACCTGGTCAGCGTCAAACTCAACAAGATGCTGCAGAGTTCCTTACCTGGATACTTGATACTTTGCATAATATATTAAACAAGAATAGAAAAGCCTTACAAGCTGGTATGGATCCATTTAAATAGCCCCGTTCACTGCCTGTGGTTTTATTTTATCTTCTATATAATCTTATATTTAACCTTCACTTTCACACACATCTAACCTACCTATCTTTTCTAATCTTAACTTAAAAAAAGTTGATAAAAATATAGACATGAATTTTGTTTTATGCCAATTATTAATCCTACACCCAGATTTCCTTGCATAGAATTTTAACATCTTTAAACTGGTTGTTGTATGGTTGTGGTTTCAAATTTAGATAATATCAGCGCCCTATTAAGTAGGGGCTACTAATGATGATAATAGATGAAATGCATTTATTTCTATACTTGGAGTCTTGAAGCTGTCATATTAAAATTTATTTCTTTTATAAGTAATAGATCAATTAATCAGTGTTTGTCTTCAAATAAGTATTTTAGTTCTTTTTCAAATACTGCCTCATACTTAAAACAGAAAGCTTTTCAATGTTTCATTTCAGATAAACAACAACAGTGTAATGGTGAGCGATTCACCAGTAACAACTTATTGATGTTAAAGAAGATTTATGGTGACCTCAATAAGAAAAGAATACATGATCTGATGAAAGCCTGTAGAAGAGAGGTAACTCCATACTATACTCTTTATTTTGAACTTTCTAATTTTTTAAATCTTGCTTAAGTTTCCCGAATCTTTAATATTGGTTATTTTATATACAAATGTTTCATAATATTTTTAAATAAGGGTATGCGCAGCTATTCCTATTTGTCAAACCATAACACAAGTTACAGAATGACATCATATTTGTAAATATTATGATGAAATTAATTTGGATTTTTCAAAGTTTCTTATAAAATATGAGTAATTAAGGGTAATGAGAGCTCAAAGACAAATTATTTGATTTTTTCAGATTGAATTGGCTAATGGATTAGAAAATGATTCTTATGCTGAACCAATCCAAAGGTTATCAGATTTAGAATGGCTGACACATAAACATGATAATGAATCTTCTGTGGATGATTTGTTTAAAGGCCAACTTGTAGAAGCATATCATTGTTTACAGGATAATCATATCTCAGTTCATATGCAGGCATTTAATATTCTACCAGTTCCAATAGTCCAGCCACGTGTCAACTCTGGTCTGGTCATGTTAGATGATTGTTTTACTAGTCTATGTCATGTTGAACATTTAATGGATCAAGATAACTTACAGTGTTCATTGTGTACGGGTGAATCTATAAATTCAGTGAAGAAAAGTCCAAACCTAACAGCTAGAACACGTTCACAACAAATGACTAGTACCCCACAGAATATTCTGAGAAGTCGTGCTGACTCTGCCTTCCATTCTCCGTCTTCTTCTCAAATGATGTCACCTATAATAGGTATTCGAGATATTGTAAATGACAGTGGTTACTATGACAATGTGTTTAAAACATCGACTCCTATTTTAGATGGAGGAACTGGTAATGATATAAAACAATCTAAAACTAAGCAAAGAAGGTGTTTATTACGACAGCTTCCTGAATGTTTAACTATTCAGTTATTGCGTTTTTCTTACAATCCACGTAGTGGTAGGTCGAAGAAAGTCAAGGCACCTCTATGTATACCAGTGAAAGGATTAGATCTTAGCTCTATTATTTATGACATGGTAACTGATAGACAAGACATGACAGCTTCATCTGGCAGCCATATTTATGATCTCTATGGTATGTGTTTACATCTAGGAAGTGAAAGTACTAATAATGGACATTATATAAGTTACTGCTTATGTGACGATAATACATGGTATCGTTTTGATGATGAAGATGTTTGTCCAGTGAATATAAATGATGAAGTTAATAATCGTGAAGTGAGAGAAAATGTTTATATTTTGTTTTATAAACAAACTGATTGTTAATTTTGTTTGCAAAATTTGTTTGTTGTTATTTGTTCATATTTCTCTTCTTGTTATGAATTGGGGCAAACAAATCGTGTTGTATGTTTATTATTCATTAATCTATTCCTTGTTACATGTGTACATTTTTCACCATTGAAATTAAGTTCGATGATAGGTACCACCTGAAGAGATATGCATATTTTGTTATTTGAAAAAAAATATGCCAACATATGGTTATAACTTTCTTTTAATGAAATCTGTCATGGTGATTATTTACTCCAATTACTTCTGAATTATCATTCTACACAAATGTCAAAATTTTATATTTTTAGAGCATCAAACAATTTTCCATACATGGCAAACATTTTCTTGCTATTGAAAATTGAAATAATATATATTTTCCTTCATTCATGCTTTTTTATGCCAGTGATTACCAGTAGCTTGTATTTCGTTTTCCTCCAAACAATGATTCTATTACAAAACAATCAAAAATGCAACATAAATGATTATTCCTGAGGAACAAATGTGGTATTTCTTTCTATTATAGAAATCTTGATACACATCTGACCCCATAGGTAAAGCATTATGGTTTGTAATTGTGAAAAAATTGTAAAATTGTAAAAAATGTAACAAGTTATTTTAACTTGTTAGTTTTCACTGCCAATTTTTTTTAAGTTTTCTTGTTATTGTTCATATTTTGTATTGTATGTGTATTACTAATTGGTATCAATTCTGTGTGCTTTATCTTTTTCTTTATAAGGAAATTATAAGTGACAGTTATCATCAATTTCAGTTAAAACAAAAGATTGGGATTGGACAGGAGTTTAAATTGCATTATGTAATACACAGACTGTCAAATATTACTAATAGTACCATTATGATGCCCAATGTATGTAGTACATGTACTGTATCTATACATGTAGAGAAATATTATTAATCACAACTGTATTTTTCTTGGCTTAGTAAAATTGAGACAAATCAATCTTGTGTTAATGATACAGTCAAGAAACCTAATTTCGTGGAAACCTATTATTCGTGTATTTCCGGAAATGTTTAATAATTTACATCCGCATTAGTTTGTTTTGATAAACATGGGTTTTCTCTACAATATCAGCTAGTAGAATGAAACCAGTAGTTTCAAGCAAGGTAAAATGTATTAATGTATGTATATGTACTTTAACAAATACAAAATGGCGGATTTCAGTTACTACCAAACGTCACCATTTTTTATCGGCCGAATTTCCTTATAATCCCAAGCAGTAATCGGAATTGCAAGTGTCGTTGTCGATCAAACATTGTACACGAAAATAGGTGACGCATGCTGCCGCCGTTGCTGAGTTGGTTGCTCATGAAATATGGGTCAAAGTGAAGGATTCATAAAGAAAATCGAAATAAACCAATTTTAATTATTTTGTAGAATATCTGAGGAAACATCTAAGACATACATTTTTTTTTTCGTGTTTTTAACTTTGACGAAATTCGGTGTTGAATCCTTATATCCACGAACATAGGTTACACCACTGTATACTACCTTTTAGAAAGGATATAGAATTTTAAAGTCTCAAACTTGATCAGAATTTCAATATAAGGTGATACATCCATTAAATTAAGTAATTATTTAGTTTCTTTAGTTTAGTTGGATTATTTACTTAGTTTATGAATTTATTGGATTATAGCGTATAGTTACAGACACCACGAACACCATTAACAAAGATTCATTTTGGCCAAGTTTAAATATTTCAAGTTTTGGTCATCATAAGATGTAGTATTCCTTTAAATATCTTAAAAAAAAACCTCTTTGGACAATCATTAGAACACTATGAAAATAAATTAATACTGATTTACACAATCGTTTTTATTTGCTCTTGAATTCAATCCAACATGTAGGTGTTTATGAACTGGAACACTGTATACGGGAATATTGGGTAACCTAATTAGGGCATCGATCATGCACATTCATTTGAATTAATGAGATGACCTCTTTGGGTACATAGCAAATGAGAGGTCACATGCAAAATGCTACTCATTGGCCTGTGACTATTCATTGCTTTACTAATAGGCCTTCTGTCATCCATAATTTGCTTTTCTTTCCTGGTAGTATCACTTGAACCTTTCTATGATGTGAAAAACGACCCGCCATCACCAAGCTTACAGAGTACAGCTGGTGGTTCACTTGAAACTGATTTCGCGGACTATGAAGTTTTTGGTAATCATGGTAGTTGATAGAAGGATCCCGATGAATTGGTTGTTTTGGCACCGTTGGATTGGTACTTGAGAAATCTTCAGATCTGGTCGGGTCGTATGACATGGCAGTGAAACTTAGCCTGTAGTCGAACGTTAGTTTTTTGATCTTCTCCATTCTTCCAAAACTCGTATGGTCATGGTATATCTTTTTGGATGGTATGGCTTGGGTTGAATTATCTGGTACCGAAAGGAATACAGAGACCATCTTGTTGGCCTTGTTTAAGCACCGTTGACTGCCGTAGTCTGATCTCTTGTTTTCGGTTATCCTATGCTTCTTTAATTATGTACCATGAACAGTAAACTCTTCACTTCATATTGAATAATTTACAGACTTCTCAAAGAAACATTTTATCGGACATAGATTGAAACACATGTTAATTTCTTATTTTATCTTATCTTTGAAGTGGAAATACTGTCATCAAATCAACCGGAGTGTATTAACTCAAAATGCAATGGTGTACTTTGGTACTCGTGGTGGTATTTCTTGTAAGTCATGCATCATGTATTCGCTATGAGCCTAATTGGTCTTCCATTGACTCCAGACCTTTACCAGGATGGTACGATGATGTTAAATTAGGTATATTTATCCATTGGGGAGTGTTTTCTGTTCCAAGTTATTCACCTAAACGAATCTCTGAATGGTTTTGGTGGTGGTGGAAAGGAGAGAATTTACAGCCGTACATAGATTTTATGGATAAGAATTACAAGCCTGGTTTTACATACGCCGACTTCGCACCTCAGCTGACGGCAGAATTTTTTGATGCAAATCATTGGGCAGAAGTGTTCGAAGCATCTGGAAGCGAGTGAGTAAGCCTATAGTCTATACAATTTTTTCCATATCAACAAATTCTCGCATCTAGACTACTGACTTCTGCACATTGTTTGCTTTTGATAAAACAATCCGGTAGCAAAATTACGTACAACGTGGAAGAATCGACTTCCTAGGAAAATGGGTAGTAGATTTCATATATATTTAGGATTTTTGATAATATTATGACGAGTATTTTTTCAAGGTATGTAGTCTTCACTGCCAAACACCACGAGGGTTACACTAATTGGCCATCAAAATATTCTTTTAGTTGGAATTCCATGGCTGTAGGACCTCATAGAGATATGGTTGGTAAGTAGGATACACATATTGGCATAGGAGGCAGCATTGGGACCGGGTTTGCGTCCGTTAATCATTGTACAGGAATCAAAAGGAAAATACAATTCGATCTCTCTCAAGGATAAGATAGTCTACCAACATTGTGACGCCATTAATTAAATTAATCAAATACCCTTTTTGGATCTGCAAAATGAAGTGTCGTGTGCTCTCTCTATCTTTACAACCTCCTGGAACCCTTTTTAGTGACTCTTACTCGATGGTTCGATACGCGCATGCGGTTTTTTAGTTAACCTCATCACCTCATGTGATGCAGTTTGTTCATACATTAAAAATTCTTCGACATTTGGAAACCACAAAAGTAGGCCGAAGTTGCTGTCCAGAGAAAGGTTCCCTAGTGAAACCTTGCACGGCTTTGGCCTTCTTATTGAGCCCATGCACAGGAGAGCAGATCATAAAGCCAAATTTAATTTCATATACAAACTTCTTTAAAGGTGAACTGGCGGTGGCTATAAAGAACACATCAATGCATTTTGGACTGTATCACTCATTGTATGAATGGTTCAACCCACTATATTTACAAGACAAAGCCAATAACTACACGACGACAGAGTTTGTTGATGTAAGTTCTGTGGCAGCTTTTCATATTTCATTCATTGATTAATAGCTGTATTCTTACTTCATTTTCTGATTTTTGCCAAAATAAAAATTGTTTTTATATGTAGGCAAGCAGTCTTCAATTTACATATTAAACTACTTTTGAAAGATGTTCCTGTTCCTTTCAGAGAAAAACGTTACCTGAATTGTATGAAATAGTCAATAAATATCAGCCTGAAGTAATATGGTCTGATGGGGAATGGGAAGCTAATAGTTCATATTGGAAAGCCACCGAGTTCTTAGCTTGGCTTTATAATGACAGGTATATGAAAATATAAAATGAAAGTGCAGCGTATTAAATTGTTTAAGACTTACAAAAAATATTTGCAGATGCTCCAGGGATTGTTACTTCCTGTTAGTGCGGCACGTTCAGCATGAAGTTGACACCAACGCTCTGTGTTTCAGCTATACAACGTATCTTGCTGGCTGCTTAAGTAAATGACGTTTGATGAGAGTCTTTGTACTCGATCTAGATAAAAAAAATCTTACGACTCTTGAATGTTGTATCTTATTTTTGAATATAACATGAAAATTGACATCACAGTCCAGTAAAAGATACAGTAGTAACTAATGATAGATGGGGTAAAGACGCACGGTGTCATCATGGTGGATATTTAACATGCGCAGATAGATATCAACCAGGTAGGTCATTTTTCTATGCCCAGCCTCCTAAGCATTTCTCAACAACCAGAATAATGCAGGAATGGAAATGTGGTGGTATATTTCCGTCGCCCCTGTCCGTCGGTCCGTCCGTCAACATATCTTGTGGGAATAATAGATACTACAGTTTTCATCTGACTTTGATGAAACTTGATATAAGATATCGGTCAAGTTCGAATTTGACGTATTTTCGACGAAAAGATTTTGAGTTATTGCCCTCGCGTCAAAATTTGTTTGTAGAAGCTACACTTTTCAATGGATTTTAATTAAACTTAGATGGCGACGAGAACATAGTCTCATGAAATCACTGGCCTAGGTTATAAAGAAAAGATTTATGATAAAACAAGGTGCATGTTAAACTATGGATGTCTCTGTAATACTATCTGTCGTAGTATCATTTCTTATAGTGTGAACATTGGAATTGATAAGATCTTCGAATTCATTGGAATTAATAAGGTTTTGAGTAAGGGGTTGATTACTTTTCTGAGTATGGAATAGAAACAGATTAATCATGATTTACTTATTTATTGAGTCTAAAAATTTAACAACGTTGCTGTTGCTATGTTTAGTCATGTTCCTTTACCAACGGTACAATGGTTATCATAATTAATGGCAAGACACTTTCTTTGCTAGAATTGTGTAGATATGTTTTTTCTAATCACATTGTTCTAACAATCTGATCAAAATGCGAATCTAGATGTTTCCATTAACTATTGGTCATGGGAAGCGAGCATAACCAGCAGAAAACATAAAGGGAAGCATCCATATCTGCATTTTAATGAGATTGCTTTTCTAGAGAAGAAGTATGAAAAATTACATGTAAGCTTATATGTTTTTCTGAATCATAGAAAACTGCAAACGAAAAAAGTCGCAATACCCAATGTGTAAGTTGGTCAAGAGTGTCTCCTTAAGAAAGAAAAGTTAATTGTCCATTGTTACTGATGCAAATAGGAGGAATTAAGAAGACAAGAATAGTATGCGTCGGCAACTTCATCAAACATCAAAACAGTATCATAGTGGACAGGGTGACGTTCACATAGACATACTATTTATGTAGGTACTCTTCAGAAAAAGAAATGGGAGAATGCTATGACTATTGATAGTAATTCATGGGGATTCAGAAGGAATGCTATTTTATCTGATTATCTTTCAACTCATACTTTGATAGCAACGTTTGTTGAAACTGTCAGGTAAGAATCGTCAAATAATATTCTGTTTCCTGAATAGAGCTTGAAAGTCATGCAGTTTCGTGTGGTTAATTAGCAGCTTAGATATTGATTGAGGTTTCAATGACCGGCGTCGCTTGTCCAAGTAGCTGTCACAGGTCTTTCAATTTCGTCCCTATTTGTATATCCAGGCTCTCAACAATCACCGCAGCTTTGTGCTTTGCGTATAATGCTATAAACTTCCTTAAGCGCATATGAAGGAAATGAGTAAGTTATTGAAATGTCATGCACCATGCAGATTTTACACTATTTACAATGAGATGGAGGTTTCAAGGTAGTTTAATGTATTTTTTTTATAGTTGTGGAGGGAATATGTTAATGAATGTTGGACCAACTAAAGAAGGTTTTATTAATCCGATATTTGAGGAAAGATTACGAGAATTTGGTGAATGGATGAAAGTTAACAGCGATGCTATCAAAGGTACCAGACCATGGAAAGCACAAAATGATACCATCAACTCTAACGTATGGTGAGTATATATTTATGATGGATAGCAATTTAATGACAAATGTGTGTGGGTTATCTTGATAAACAGATCATATGAATTTATTAAGAAGGTTTTCATCCAAAGATAAACTTTATAAGTTTCGAAATTCAAACTCTTTATTACAACCTAGTCAGTCAATATACAATATGCATAACAGACGCTATTGACTAACATTATGCAACGATTTTTTGGCCAGAAAACAGAAGGCCAAATTTTATGCTACTACGAAATTGATGAATGTATAACAGAAATATTGGACTTTGGACTTTGGGTTTTTTTAAAATTTACAGTCCTCATATAAATAAAGATATTTGGATAAAGTGAACCGCGATCGCATCTATTGATATGTGGAATGGCTTGACAAAAGAGTACACTTAATTTCGTACAATTTCTAACCGGTGGGTGTATTTGTAACTCGAATGCGAAAAACACTTTCTTAACAAGATCTTTTTATTACACAGGTATACTATGAAGGGTAATAACGTGTATGCTATAGTTTTAGAGTGGCCACAAGGTGGTACATTAATCCTGGGTTCACCAAATCCATCTATAAGTACCGCAATTAATTTATTAGGTTATCCTGATAAATTCCAATATTCTACAAGACCTACTGGTGGCATTGCTGTAAAGATCCCAAGAATTCCTAAAAATAAACTACCTGGTAAATGGGCATGGACATTTGTAATTACAGGTTTGATAAATTGAATAAAAACATGATATTCAATATATTCATTCTGTTATGTTGGATTAACTTGTAACGCTGTGATATAAGCCTATGCATTTTTTCGCATGTTATGGTCGAGGGTACTCAACGCATTGAGAATAAAGGAATGCCACTTGCTTCTAAAATTAAATGGCAAAAACGCGTACCCACAACATGCGAACGGGCATTCTCCAGACTCTATAGAAATGTCACGTCATATAAGTAGATTCTCGGGCTTTTTCAAGCCATCTATCCATCCTTACTCTGAGTAAAGTGCAAAAGTGTGACAATTTATACCTTAATTCACGATCTCTGGGCGCAAGATTATCAAGGACACGGTGAAAATATTTTTGTAAGACAACCCCCGAGATGGGTTACCATTAATAGGGTGCAGACTGACTAAATGGGGGGACAACTCTCCAGGCTGAATTCAAAATGCGCAAACTCTGTAGGATATAGTCCCCGGCCTCCCATGGAGCGACAGAGAAGGTTCTAAGAAAATTTTCGAAAAATTGAATTGATTTGGTGCATTCAGACACATATTTTGGGGCAAAAACGTATAAAAATCATATTTTTTGAATGTGTTAGAACTAAAGTTTTATTTGGGGGCAATCACTGTACCCTCACTGTCGACAGTGTTGCAAATGTGTGCAACTTCGATTAACTATTGAGTATCAGAATTTGACGAGATTTTTTTGACAGAAAGTAAACATAAGCAACTGCAAATTTTTGGTTGTTAGATGCGCTCAGGTCGTCTAAATCCAGCGATTGACCACATACTCCATGTGGCCGTAAATTGCTAGCAACTGTTGATAATCAAGTTGCTTTCAATTGCTTTAAATACGATATGCACCCCTTTGTTTGCATGTCGTTTCTTTGGGTTTAGTTTATTATACGTCCAGATTTCTATGTGGATGCACTCTGTCGACACCCATGTTACTCGTCCCATTTTCTTGGGGACGCCTTGGAATCTAAGGTTTCTAACCGTTTTTGAAATAAGTGGGTATGTGTATTTGTCAACATAAGGAAAGTTAGGTTCCAATTTATCCCTGTGATTTTGTAGGTATGTGGATGAATTGTATGTCAATTGTATTTAATTTCCTCGACCCTAATAATTCCGATAAATGTACGTGTTATACTCTAATTTGCCAATGCTAAGATAGCTTGCCAGGCAAGGCAATATACTCCCAATGGCAGCTTTGATTATGAATAAAAATATTTAGCAGTACAGTAACAATCACCAGTATGAAATATTCAACCTTCAGTCATACACTTCTTTTGAACTCTTTAGGGCGATACTGAATAATATTGAGTATGAGTTATTGCCCCTGTTCTTGAAAACATGTTCAATTTCTAGCTCGTGAAAACTCTAGAAGGCAAATATTCAATCTTCAGCACGGTACTGAATAATAAAACCATTTTTTCAAAATCCGGCAAGAATCATGC